CTCGCACAGTATATACACACACACACACACACACACACAGATACACACACACGCACACACACACACACACACACACACACACCCACACACATTAAAAAAGAAGGAAATCCTACCTTTTGCACAGATGGACCTTGAGGGCATTATGCTAAGTGAAATAAGTCAGACAGAGAAAGACAAATACTGTATGATCTCACTTACACGTGGAATCGAAAAAAGCTAAAACTCATAGAAACAGGCGGTAGAACAGTGGTTTCCAGGGGTTAGGGGGGGAATGGGGAGATGTCAGTCAAAGGGCACAAATTTCCAGCTAGCAAATGAAAAGGATCTAGGGATCTAATGTACAGCATGGTAAATATAATGAACAATATCGTGTTATGTCCTTGAGAGTTGTTAAGAGGGTAAGTTTATGTATGTCATCACCACACACACATACATGAGGGGATGGAAATGTTAACTAACCTTATTGTGGCAATCATTTGCAATATATAGGTGTCTCTAACCACCATGTCATACACCTTAAACTTACCTATGCTATAGGCCAATAATATCTCAATAAAGCTAGCAGGAAAAAAAAAAAAGAAAAAACTATATGGCTTTGTTATCCTTTAAGGTAGATATTATCTGTGTTGTTCGTAATTTCTTAAACACATGACACTTTTCTACCTTTGTAATATGCATTGTCAAATGAAAAAGAGAAACTTTCGGGGTGCCTGGGTGGCTCAGTGGGTTAAAGCTTTTGCCTTCGGCTCAGGTCATGATCCCAGGGTCCTGGGATCGAGCCCCACATTGGGCTCTCTGCTTGGCAGGGAGCCTGCTTTCTCCTCTCTCTCTCTCTGCCTGCCTTCTCTGCCTACTTGTGATCTCTGTCTGTCAAATAAATAAATAAAATCTTTAAAAAAAAAAAAAAAGAGAGAGAAACTTTCCTGTGGGAAGGAATGGAAAAGCTCTAAAGTAGAGTGGGAGAAGAAGGAATCTTAGGAATATGTCATTGCATAGCAGAAAGAGATCTCCTGAAATGGAGCTAACTATGATATGAGCCACAGAACAGAAAATGGTGGTGTGCAGTAGTTTGGGTCCACACAGCTCTGAATCAGTTTCAACATACTGTTACTCTTTAGTTGTCAGCCATTAATCAACAATTACTTTTGGAACACCTTCTATTTACCAGACCCTGACGACTAATGATGAATAAAGAGCTCTCCGTATGGAAATCTGAAACCTTGGTTTCCTCTCATGTTTACAAGATGGCTGCCACAGCTTCAAGAATCACATTCTCACATAACTCCCAAAGCAGGTCTGGGGGTTTATCCTTGCAAGAGTTTCCTTCACTCAGCATGAAAAACAAGCCCCAGCACACTTCCCTACCTGTCCTACTGGCCAGAACTATGTCATCTACCTACTACTCTCTGGCCAGTCACTGGCAAAAGAGACCAAGACTGCCGTAACTGATTGGGAGCAGAAAGGCTGGGGCCAGGGATGGGTATCCTTCCCCCAGTATGTGCTGCCCCAAACCTAAACTAGACAGACCTACTGTCCTCAAAGAACAAGAGTAAAGCAGCTAGAACAAGGACCAAGACTGAGATATATCGTTTATGGGGATGGTCTTGAACAACCGAGCAAGTGCGGGCACTGTGCTAATGTTAAGGATAAAAAGAAGACCCAGGTGCCACTTTGACCATGTCAGTCTACTGCTCGAAGACATTCAGGGAGAGAGAAGTCCCTCCTTTTCACTATCTCAAAGGTATATACAGCTCATGGCTACTGCCACCTTAACCCTCACCAATTCTTCTCTCATTTGTTTAGTCTTTGAATGACTTCTTCCCAATTCATAGCTGACACTTGTTCATTTTACAAATATACATTGAGCACCTGGGCCACAAGGATACAATTTTGCTAAAAAGACAATGTCCGTGTCCTCACAGAGTTTCTTATTTCAGAGTCATGGAAAGAGAGTTAAATAACCAGTTATAAGAAAGAGTTACAAGAGGTGGAGCGTGAGTGCTATCAGAGCACCAAGAAGGAGCACCTCCACTCATTCAAAGGTGGGGTGAGGGATGGTGGTAAGACAAGAACCATTTTGTTGAAAACGTCATGTAAGTCAATAATTAAAGGATGGAAACAATGTGCAGAAATGAGAGTGGAAGTCAGGAGTTGGGGGAGAAAGCAAGGAGGCTAGTCCACCTAGTAAAATCAGCATGTGCAAAGGGCCAGAGGTGGGGAGAGTGAGTCGGAGGGGAAAAAGTTGAGCGTTGCTGGAGGGCAGAGTAGGGTGGGGGGTAATAGAAGGAGATGGGTCTATAAAGATAGATGGAGGCCAGGTCAGCACAGGTAGTAAACTCTTGGACTTTATCCGATGGGAATGTAATGAAGACATTGACACATTCGGGTTTGCATTTTAGAAAAAGTATTCTCATTGTTCCCTTGCTCCAATCCCTTTCCCACACTTGAGCCCGCCCCCCCCCCCACTACAAACAAGATGACCAACAAGACACTGTGGCAGTGGGCTGGACCAGAAGAGTGGTCAAAGAATGGGTAGGGATTGAAGAGGTCTAAGATTCAGTGAATGACAGTGCTCTGACTAGCCAGGGCAAGGGAGGAGACAAAGACGACTCCAGGCATTTCTGGTGTGGTAGATACCTGGATGGATGGTGGTGTCCTCCCCTGGATCCTTCATTTTGGTACAAGCTGTGTTTCAGCTGTTCCCACAGGGCACTGAACACAGTGTGTTCATTAATTAAACTTTTTTAGGACTTTTCTCCTCCTTCCCCCACCTTCCATATCAAAGCCACTCCCTGCTTATCTTGGATCACACTTTTCTCAGACCTATTTCAAGTTTCTCCTTTGGGTCCACACCCACATGAACAATGTAAAGAACACGGGTTTCTGTGCTTTAGGTTTTCACCTCTAGTGTCCTCTGAGCAAAGCCTATGGTTTTGGAGCCCCCATTATGGAGCCAGACCCGGAAATGCAATACGATTTCATCAGTCATCACTAATACGGTCTTTCAGCTAATACACATCTAAGCCATCCAATGAAACATTTGAAGTCAGTGATCAATGAATTGCAATTAGTAATTGACACAAATCCAACTTATTTTCCTGCATCTGTCCTTTTCTCGTTAACAGAAACTTCTCATCCCTTTTACATTTAAAGCTTAATCTTATGGAACAGAGAGATGGCACAGGAACCAGTGTCAGAGCTGGCTGTTCTCCACGTGGTCTTTTATGTTATGGGCATTTTTTTTATAACGTGTAATTTCACTACTTGAGGTTACCCGGTACTAATTTTATAATACTGCGTAGCTACATGATGGGGCTCGGTATATACTGTATATCTCGGTTTTAAGTAGTACCATGCCTGGATGAGGCATCAAAGTGAGAATGGTGAACTTAAAGGGCCTTTAAAACATCTTGAAGCAATAACAAGCCATACACTGAAGCAGGGCGTTTTTAAACATTACGCAGGACTAAAACAATTGAACCAATTTGTCCTTTGTTCTTTTTATTACATTCTCTATTACATTAATACTGTTTAAAAGAAATTCAAAAAAGCATTAAACTCGGGGGCTATGCTATACCAAGTTCTCCCAGGGGCCTGGCTAGGACCGCAAGCGCGTTTCCGCCGCCCCGCACCGAGCACGCTCGCGCTCGGTCCCGGGGAAGCGACAAAAAAAAAAAAAAAAAAAAAAAAAAAAAAAAAAAAAAGAGGTCGCCGGGCCGAGCGCTCTGCTGGCCCGAAGTCCTCCCTCCGGGCAGGAGGAGCCCGACCGAAGTTTGCCAACTTTTCAGGCAGGCCCGGCTGAGCAAATGCCGCTGCTACCAGTTGCCTTTTCGCTCCAGTGGCAGGCCCGGCCCGTGGGAAGTTTGCCTCCGGGGGTCCCAGGACCTTCAAAGAAGCCCGGAGCGGGGGAGGGGACGGCGGGGAAGCGCCCCCCACGCCCAACCCGGGCCGCCCCTCCGCGGGGAGGGCGACGAGGGGACCCAGCGTCCCGGGCACAAAGGAAGATCGCTCTTAACACTGCTTCGAATGACCTTGGAAACTCGGGAGCGTTTTAGGGTTTAAGTCCTCCCCACTGCCCTCCCCTTTCCCGCCGCTCTTCTGCCCCGAATCCGCCCCGGTCCTCCCGCTCTTTCACCGCCTCTGCCTTTTCCTGCTTTTTCTTTAAGAGAGTTGCACGCACTCGGCCCAGGAGGGGCCGCGCTGGCCGCGGGGCCCAGCCCTTCCCGCCGCGCCCGGGGCCGCCCTTCCCGCGGGAGCCGGCTGATTGATGGCCCGGCCGCCCGGGTCCCCCGCCTCGGCCGGCCCGCGCGCCGGGCTGTGTGTTTTGGAAGCGGCGCAGCGGGCTGCAGCCCTGTGACGCCCGGAGCGGGCAGCGCCGCCCTTCCTTCCCCCCGGGCTGGGGCGGCGGCGCGGCGGCGGGTCCCAAGCGGGCGGGGGACTGGAGGGGACCGGGGGTACAGGGAGGGGGCGCGGGCGGGGACCCCGGAGCTGGGGCGGGTGCGCGGGGCCGGGACGGGCAGGGCGGGGGGTGGGGGGGCGGAGGGCGAAGGGCGGAGGCTCCGGGGCGGGGGCCGCGCGGCGCACGCCCAGCCCCTCGGCCGCCCAGCGCCTTGCCGGACAGGTTGGGCCGGCGGGGCGGCGCCCGGCTCCGGGGAATAATGAGTGTCTGTCAGGCCGTCCCCGGGTGACTGGGCGGGGCGGGGCGGAGGCGGCGCGGGAGGCGGGGGTGGCGGGGGAAGGGCGCAGGGCGGGGTGCGTGTTTGCGCGAGTGACTCGGCCGACCCCTCCGGCGGCTGCCTCCACCCAAGTGGGTGGGGACCCGCCCAGCCCGGGCGGCCGCGGCGGCTCCCTCTCCCCTCCCTGACCCTCCCACCCCGGGTCCCAGCCTCTACTTACCCCGCCAGCCCCGGGAGGCTCGCAGAGCGAGCGGCGCCGGCGTCATGTGACTGCCCGGAGTTGGTGCCAGGAGCCAGAGGGGAGCCAGGAGCGGAGCCGCGCGGAGCCGGGGCCCGAGCCGGAGCGCAGCGCGAGCGCCCGCCGCACGCGCGCCCGTCCCCGTTCCTGTCCCCGTGCCCTGCGCCGCCACCGCCACCGCCGCCCCGGCTGGCGCGCTGACATTACTGCATTCGCGGGGTTCAAGGCGGCTCGGAGCCGGGCCTTTATTTCTCGTCTGCAGCGCTCAGCACCGCGCCTCGAAAAGTAAGTCCCTTTCCCTCACCTTCCCTCGCCCCGACTCCTGCTGTCGCCCTTTTTGACTCGTCCAGTCTCATTTCTTTTTATCCCGGAGGGGGGTCGCGCAGTTAATGGGCCGGGGGGTGCAGCGCGGGGGTGGGGGCGCCTATGGGCTTGGGAAAGTGCAACAGCTCTTGGAAGCCGGGGGTGGGGGCGGAAGGGGAGGCGACGGGGAGGGGGGAACCCCGGGTTCGGCGGTTGAAAGTGTGGGATTCGGGGAAGCCACCGTGCGGATCCCGCGGTGCGGGGGACCGAGACCCGCGGCACCCGCCGCGGCCCGGGAGAGGCCGCGGGCGGGGGCTCACCTGTGTGGTCCCACGGCTGCCGCCCGCCCTCCCGCCCGCTCGCGATTCCCTCCAGAGCCCCAGAAATCTCAGTGCTCTCCGCGTGTGGCAACGTTGTTTGGAGAAAGGTAGCGAGGAGGCCGCGCACTCCTGCTCCTCCCCCTCCGGGTCCCCCACCCCCCGCTCCCGCGCCCTCCCCTCTCCGCCCCCCGCCGCCCCCCTCTTCGGACGGGGCGCGCGACCGCTCGCCCGCCGGAGCAAACTTGGAGCAGCCTCCCGGGCCCTCTGGGAAGAAACTTGGGGCCGTTGGGACTGAAGGCAGCATCCCATCCTCGCTCCTGGAGCCCAGGAGCTGCCAGGGCGTCTGGATCCTCAGGGGCAGGAGAAAAGAGCTGGCCGGGTTTGGAGAGTCCTCCTCAGGGCACACCGAGAACCTGCCGCAGTGCCTGGAGCAAGAATTGCAGCGAGGCTGGAGGCGGAGATCGCCTTCGGCAAGTGTCTGCAGCGTTAGGGACTCGAGCCGTTTGGGGACTTAAGAGACTGACCCCTGGACCTGGACCCTTGGGACTTAATGCATTTCAGAGTGGCTTTCTTGGAGATGGCAGATAATACTTGGAATTGTCATATCCACTTTGGCAGATACCAGGGAGAATCTTCCTCGTTACATTTCACAGCTGTATACAGTGATAATAGATGGAGAATCTGTGTGAGCTGGACTTATTTTTAAGAAGTCAGGTGAAACGGAAACTGGACATTGCTCACCCTGTATTGCACTAAAATAAACATTTTGCACTGAATTTTTTATTAGCTCAATGCATTTTTCCACTAATACCACCCAGGATACTTTAAATATATCAGTTATATTCTCACAAGAGTCTGGTATTTGAGGAGAAGTATGTAGTGGTATTCTGACTTCATTTACATTTAGTGTATAATTATTAGCAAAATGGAGTAGAATAGACAGTTGTTCATTATAGGTTTTTCCACTGAGCAATTTTGCACCTTTTTTTTTATAGTGCTTTCTGTATGAATTTGAGCAGCATTTTTATAAGAAATCCATCTGGATGATAATCTGCCACTGGAGGAAAGACTTGCTTTTAGGGGAAAACCAATCTGATAATATTAACATCTCCAAAATGTTGAGAGTTAGTGTTAGAAAGAACGGACAGATGAGTTTCTTCTGGCTCCAAGCATGGAATATGTTGACCTTAACTCATTAACAGAGACCTGAAATGAGATGTTTGGTGAATTTCAACTCTCTAGGGAAACTGTCTCCAGTTTTCCAGTCAGTGGGGTTTGCATCCGAAGTATTAGAAGAAAAAGAGCTCAATGTACTATTTAAGTTCAATAAAGATACACTTCAAGGAACACTTGGCTTTCATGAAGGGGAATGCAGGTATAAAAATCTTATAGCAACAAAGAAAAGTAACTGCTAAGACCACAAAATCTTGTCAGATATAAAACATGCTATTGTTTTTTTCACTGCAAAGTTTCTAAATTAAAACCCAATTTTCTGGTTGCTATGGGCACAGTAATGCCTTTTTTTTTTTTTTTTTTTTTTACCTGTAGTTTTGTCTACACACATTTTGTTCAATCTCTGATCGTGGAAACCCGAGTTGAACAATCCTGACCAACTAACCAAAAAAAGAGACCTAATGGGGGGGAAGACTATGAATGGTTTTTACTACCTTAAATATACTTAAGGGAAAATAGATGTTTTCAGATATCTTGTAAAAATTGATATTCTGGTCTCCAGATTGTATGACACTCTTGGGTTAAATGAAATGTCAGGAACAGAGTGACATTCTCCAAAGGTGAATTTCTTTAGATGTGTGGACAGGGAGAACAGATGTGCAGCTGGGTGCGGATAGGTTTCTAACTATGCAGTTGAAAAAGATGGTGAAATTGTGGGGGCGACTCTAGGTGACCCACACTCTGTGTCTAGGAATATAGTTTTGTATAGTGAAGGGACACACGGAACTGGTCCAGTTGTCGGTTATATGGACTAACCCAGTGTCCTCTGAATTCTTACCAAAGCTTTCTCTGCCTTCTCAGGATGCTGAGGCTGAGCAGTGATCATTACCCTAACCCCCAATCTGATCGAGGCTAGAGACCAGCCATTGGGATGGGGGAGAAAGAGACAAAAGAAATGGGAAAGGAGGCTGGTGTTAATTAGGAAGGGTCTCTGCTGCCTGCATGTGATAAAATTACATGTTCACTTACGGTGTTTACTGTATGTGGAAGCTCCTATTTGTAAATAGGGCAGGTCCCCAGTATAAAGCTGGTGTTATTATTCACACCCATGGAACAAACACCTCCACCCCCCTGTTGTCTTAAAAAACTCCAGCTGCTCATGAATATAGGGTCAGGGAGGGCCGGCTCAATGTTTCTCTGCTCGCTCTCCAGCACAGCCAGCAGAGCTGTTTCCTGTTCTTTGTTTCAAGGCTGGGGTTTGCGTCATACATTCCAAGTGGCATATGTGTGCTCTTTCCTGTTTCAGGCTGTTTTCTGGTTGATCAGTAGCCGGGACCAGGCCGTGGTCCCTGCCCCTAAACTCCCGATCTCCACCCAGGGAGTTATCCTGTCTCTACACACTTGTGATTGCCTAAGAGGCCTGTGTTATGTCATAACGAGGAGTCAGTTAACCTTTTTACATATACCCTTTGCTCCAGTGTGTTTCTGTGAGTGAATAAATACTTGCACCTTCTTAAATTCATCATCGCCAAAGTGTGACTCTGAGAAATGCGCGTGAGGTTGGCCAGAAGGCTAAACGGAGGTTGCATATTGATGGTTTTCCATTCTTGTGTCGAGGTGGGCAGGGTGTTTGTTTGGAGATAGGCATTTGGCCCTGAAGCTGTCATTTTTGGAGGATTTTGGAGGATTGCCACCTTACAGTCACCCAGACCTAGCATTATCTGCAGGCTGTGGCCCACCCTTGGCCACACCCTTGTTCCCCAGTCGCAGTGGAGCTCCAGACAGGAGGCCCCACTGAATGGAGGGAGAGTTGAAGCATTCCTGGCCCACTGGGCTGATTGGAAAATCTCGCCTAGGTTTTTAAGGAAGAGATCTTTATTTAGGAAAAGTATAGAAGCTAGAAACATAAGCTACATTTGAGGGAATCAGCCCCAGGGTCATCTATTTTAAAGACAAAGATGGGAGTGCTAGGATAATTTTCCTAAGGACCACGCTGTATTCTGCATCTGATTTCTGACCTGTTCTAAGAATAAAAAGCCCCAAGAAAAGGAGAACTGGAAATAAGAAATTCATTTTAATGACAGTCTGGAAAATTTTAATCTTATATTCTGAAAACAGAAGGAGACTTCTCTTGTTTTTATTGTCTTACAACACCAACTTTTTCATAATCCCCATTTTTGCGGGGAGGGTATATTCTCTCAGTTGTGGGCTAACATTTCTAGGTTAACTATTTGGTTCTTCAGAAACTAAGTTTTTAAAGAAATAAGTTGGACAAGAAACTTCTGGCAAGTTTCTTTTTAAACTTATTTTTGGATTTTTGTTAAAATCCAAAGGAATTATCTACAGTGTTCTCTAATGGAATTAATTCAGAGTTGCCACGGCAGCAAATCAGACCCTCTCCTCCCCAAAATTGATGATAATAGTACTTTGGTTTTTAACTTCACATTCCACCACATTCTTTATGGGTAAAGGGAAGTACATAGTATGATATTAAGAAAATTACTAGAATCAAATAGAAGGTTACTGATAACCTTTGCAAAAAGATGGGCCTCTTGGAAGTTTCAATAGGATTTGTTCTTTCTCCTTTGGGAGAAGCAAACTTGAAATACTAAGCTGACTTACAGCGCAGGGGACCTTTAAACTAAAATTTGTAAGTAACCCAAATTTGAAGCAACTTTCTCAGTTTTAGTTCCAAAGCTGTTAACAATCCTACTAGCTTTTGTAGACAGAATCTTTGTTTAGCTTATTCCAAGTTACCTTTCCTCCCCATTTGGGGGGAGAGGGAGGTAGGCTAATACATGTCAGGGTCTTATGTATTTTATCAGGAAAAAAGAAAAACTTCAAACCTTTAAAAGCTAAGCTGAACAATTTGGAAAAATTATACCAGTCTGATAATTACTAAAATTATAAAAGGAAAAAAAATGGGAATAATTGTTTCATCTCTTGACTATGTAAATTATTATTCCTAACTTAATCCCATTTTATTTCTCCCCTCCCCCTTTACATACTTGTCTTAATATTTCCAAGTCAACCTTTCTGCTACAGTGAACAGCTTTCTTAGGTGGTATTTCTTACTTTTTTTCATACCAGTTGTGTTTAAGAAAAAAAACTAAATAAATATAAGCAATCTTATCCTTGAAAGACTAGGAATTACATTATTCTGGAAATTGGGTTTCTTTCTGTAATGCTTCGCAGTCATTGGTTCTAACTTCAAAAAAAAAAAAAACCTAGATTCATAAAGCACTTGATACTCTGGTTTGGTAATGTGTAATGTTCTAGTCTGAATTCATCTCGGAGAGAGTTACAAGAGGATTGTGGTGGTTTTTGGTATTCTCATTTTCAAGCCTCATCTGTCCCTTTCTTGGACCCTGGTTCTCATCCGAAGCAGTAAGCCAGAGTTTGAGACAGGAAACCAGACAGCAGTCTGCCCTGATAAGGGAGAGCATTGTCTAAAGGAGGCAGCCCTGTGTTTCCCCCCATTAGCTCTCC